CCGCCCTCAACTCCAACTTCCCGCGGCCACTGGGCCAGGGCCCCGCAAGTTGGGCTCCCGCTTCATCCTGGCGCCGCTCCGAGGCTGTTCTGGGAGCTCCCGAGCCCCGCGCAGCCCTGCAGGGCCCCTGGGCCGGCCTGGGGTGCCTTTCAGCCCGCACACTTCCCTGCGGGGCTGGGGCATCCCGGGGCTCAGAGCTGGGGCCTGGCGCTGGTGACCTTTCCTGGCGTCTCGGCTCCTCTCCATCACCCAGTCGCCAAGTCCTGGAAAAGGGAACCTGCGGGAACTGCCCGGGATCCACCAGGGATCTGGCTCTGGCTTCAGCTGCTAAGCTGGCTCTGGCTTCAGCAGCCGCATCCCAGGAGGGGCCCAGGCAGAGTCCTGTGAAACCCCTCAGGACTCGCCAGCCGGCGGGAGCCCCGTGCGTTTCCCACTTCAGAACGGCTGGCTGACTGGGGGAGGCAGCCTGGCTCTGCACTGTGACCCCATTCTGTAACGGCTGGGGAGACCGAGAGACTGAGAGCTGGGCTGCAGGCCTGGGCGGGCTGGGTTTGCTGGTGTGGGGGGGCTGACCAGGCTTCTCCGCTCCGCAGACATGTTCCGCAAAGTGGTGCGGCAGAGCAAATTCCGGCACGTGTTCGGACAGCCAGTCAAGAATGACCAGTGCTACGAGGACATCCGAGTGTCCCGCGTAACATGGGACAGCACTTTCTGTGCTGTCAACCCCAAGTTCCTGGCAGTGATCGTGGAGGCCAGTGGGGGCGGCGCCTTCCTGGTGCTCCCCCTGAGCAAGGTGGGCCCAGGTGGGGCTGGGGCGGACCGGAGCCAGCCTGGCCGCACCTGTCTGCTCACCTCATCCCTTATCTGGCCTGTCCCCACGCTCCTGGGCTGATGTCATCACCCAGACTTCCTTCCCATAAGCTGTTAGCACAAATAGTTATGTATTTTATTGCCCTGAGTTAGGGTCAGAGGCAACAAGCATTTCCTGCTCCCCTAGTGATGCCAAGGAGGCAGAGGGGAGCCAGTCGGACCCATCACCCCCCACTCCGTGGTGGTGGCGACTGAGGCTGCGACGGGGACAGGCCTCTTCTTTTGACTGTCCCCTTCCTGCCTGCAGACCGGCCGAATTGACAAGGCCTACCCTACGGTGTGTGGTCACACGGGACCCGTGCTGGACATCGACTGGTGTCCCCACAACGACGAGGTCATCGCCAGCGGCTCGGAGGACTGCACAGTCATGGTGAGGCGGGGGCTGTGGTCACAGGTGCAGCTCCAGGCTGCTGCCCCCAGGGCTGCCCAGAAGCCTCAGCGGTGGCTCCACCCCTCCCCCAGGTGTGGCAGATCCCAGAGAACGGGCTGACCTCCCCGCTGACAGAGCCAGTAGTGGTGCTGGAGGGCCACACCAAGCGAGTGGGCATTGTCACCTGGCACCCCACCGCCCGCAACGTGCTACTCAGCGCAGGTCTGGGCCGCAGCGCCTGCACCCACCCTCCATGCACAGCCCTGGGCCCTCCCAGCCCCGGCCAGAGGGGAGAGCTGAGGCCCACAGAGGTCTAGCGGCAGGGGCTGGTCCCGGGGGCCATTACAGTGGGCCCAGTGGCTAATGCTAACCTCCCCCACCATGCCTGAGCTGATGGTTCCCGCCTGCAGGCTGTGACAACGTGGTGCTCATCTGGAACGTGGGCACGGCGGAGGAGCTGTACCGCCTGGACAGCCTGCACCCTGACCTCATCTACAACGTCAGCTGGAACCACAACGGCAGCCTCTTCTGTTCCGCCTGCAAGGACAAGAGCGTGCGCATCATAGACCCCCGCCGGGGTGTCCTGGTGGCGGTACGCAGCTGAGGAGGGTGGCCATGGCGGTGGGCGGGCCAAGGGCGTCTGGAGCACTGTGCTGAGCGCCCCATGTCCCCACAGGAGCGTGAGAAGGCTCACGAGGGGGCCCGGCCCATGCGGGCCATCTTCCTAGCGGACGGCAAAGTGTTCACCACGGGCTTCAGCCGCATGAGCGAGCGGCAGCTGGCACTCTGGGACCCGGTGAGGGGCAGCTGAAGACGGGGGTCCTGCTCTGGACATGGAGGGCAGGATCCCTGGGGGAGGCTGGGCCCTGGTTCCCCGCCCAGCCAGCGGCTCTCTTGCCTCAGGACCCTGCCACGCCCTTCCCCAGCCCTGCTCTCTGGCTGCCCGCTGCCTCGCCCTGCAAGCCTTCCCGCCTGCTGCCCCTCCAAGCCCACTCCTCTAGGAAGCCTCCTAGCCTGCCCCTGAGGTGCTCCGGACCCCAGTACAGGCTCCTGTGGTGCGACCCCCCAGGGTGCAGAGACAGGCTGCCATTGCCTGCCACCCTAGCCGGGGGCATTGCTCACGGGCTGAGAGGAGTCTAAGGCCTGGAATAGGGTGGAAGGCCCAGGAGAGCCCGGCAGGGTCTACCCAGTAAGGCGAAGGCTTGTAAGTGGGGAGAACCCAGCTGGCGCGGGACGGGTGGGGCCAGCAAGCAGGTGTGGCGGCCAGTGCAGGGTCTGAGGTGAGCTTGGGCCGCTGGCAGAAGGCGACTCTGGCCAGGCCTGACCGCACCCTCCTGTGTCCCAGGAGAATCTCGAGGAGCCCATGGCCCTGCAGGAGCTGGACTCCAGCAACGGCGCCCTGCTGCCCTTCTACGACGCCGACACCAACGTGGTCTACCTCTGCGGCAAGGTGGGGCACGCTGGGTGGGGCTGGGGCGGGGAGGGGTGCCACAGCCGACCCTGCCCCTGCCCTCCTGCAGGGTGACTCCAGCATCCGGTACTTTGAGATCACTGACGAGCCCCCCTACATCCACTTCCTGAACACGTTCAGCAGCAAAGAGCCCCAGAGGGGCATGGGCAGCATGCCCAAGAGGGGCCTGGAGGTGAACAAGTGTGAGATCGCCCGGTAAGCGGGGCCAGGTGTGGGCAGTGGGTCTGCCTGGCGGCAGCAGGCCCAGCTCTGGGCATCCAGGGTGAAGTCAGGTCTTGGGCTCCTCTGGAGCAGGAACCTGCCTGGGAGGAGAGGGGTAAGTGGTCAGGGGTCAGCCTGTGGGGAGGCCCCTCGGAGGGGCCCAGCATGTGAGAGGCCAAGGTGAGGACTGGAAGAGGCGGCCATCAGGAGCTGATGTGGGGGTTCTCCCTGTGGCCCCCTAGGTTCTACAAACTGCATGAGCGCAAGTGCGAGCCCATTGTCATGACCGTGCCAAGGAAGGTGAGGCCGCCTGGTCCCCACCACCTGGGCCCTCTGCAGCAGGCCGGCCCTGTGTGGAAGTGGTCAGTGGGCAAGTAGGGATGAAAGCCAGGGTGCGCTGAGGAGACTTGCCCAGCAGCCCTGGCCGTCTTCCCAGAGGAGGCAGGAAGGACAGCAAGCCTGGGTGGGGACCCGTGGGGGTAGGGGGCCGGGAGAGCAGGAGTCTGGCTGCAGCGGAGGCAGCTGTGAGGAGGGGACTGGCCTGTGTGGCCTGGCCTCAGTGCCCAGCCCGGCGCACACCACTCGGCAGGCCAGGCACAGCCCGGGGGCAGGGGCTGACCGTGCACACCCGAGCACAGACATGGCCCCAGCAGCCCACAAAGCCACACGGCTTGGGAGTTTGGGAAGGCCTCTGGTTGCTGCCGGGGTGCTGAGAGGAAGTGAGAGGACAGGCCCGAGCTTTAGAAAGGCCCCTCAGGGCCAGGTCAGGGTGGAGACTGCTGGCCCGAGGCCCGGCCGATGGGGCCATGCACGGTCAGCACTAACTCTGGCCCCTGCTTCCCTGTCCAGTCGGACCTCTTCCAGGAAGATCTGTACCCCGACACAGCGGGGCCCGAGGCAGCCCTGGAGGCAGAGGAGTGGGTGAGCGGCCGGGACGCCGACCCCGTGCTCATCTCCCTGCGGGAGGCCTACGTGCCCAGCAAGCAGCGGGACCTGAAGGTCAGCCGGCGCAACGTGTTGTCCGACAGCCGGCCTGCCCTGGCCACTGGCTCCTCCCGCCCGGGGGCCTCCACCGCCACAGCCTCCTCCAGCCTCCACAGCGGGAGCCTCTCTGGAGGTGCTGAGGTACGGAACCCTACTGCTGCGGGCGGTGCCCCTGGGCCCCCACTTGGCGGTAGGCCAGGCCTTGACCTCCCCGCTGTCCTGCAGGAGGCCGGAAGGCTGGAAGAGGTGATGCAGGAGCTGCGGGTGCTGAGAGCGCTGGTCAAGGAGCAGGGGGAGCGGATCAGCCGCCTGGAGGAGCAGCTGGGCCGTGTGGAGAACGGGGATGCCTAGGACCAGGCCCCGCAACTGCCACCGCCCCTCACCTCCTGCGCCACCCCATCACCCCACCTCTGCAGGTGTCACCCTGCTGCCTACCTGCCCCTGCCGAGGCCTCTGGCGCCGGCTGGCCAGTCTGCACCGACCCCTGGGGCGCAGGCCGGAGCTGGCTTTGGCGTCGCTACTGTGAAGGATCCTGCCCAAGGCGAGCCTGTACTGAGGGACCCTGCACTGCCCAGGCCCTGCTCTCCCTGGAGAAAGGGCAAAGACGGGCTCTATATTTTCATTCCAAATAAAATTCTCTTTGTAAAAGCTAGGTTCGTCCTGCCCTGCAGAGGGGGGCCAGGAAAGGGAGCCCCGGGGTTCACACGGACCAGCAGGAGGGTCTGGGCCAGGAACATCGCGGTCTTGCTCTGGCAGCAGCCAGGCAGACACAGGCAGGAGCCCTGGGGACGTCTCCAGGGTCATCGCGAGCCAAGTGCCCTTCGCCCTCTTCAGGGCGCGACCGCAGGCCTGGCAGCACCGTCCCCATGAGACCCCAGGTGGTCCTGAGGCTGGAGGCCCCCACCAGGGCCCCTGGCAGAGAAGGGTGGGTGGAGTTTTGTGGGCAGGAAGCGGAAGCCTCGGGTAACCCCTAGCTCGGCTGGAGCGCGTGCTCAGTTGTCGCTTGCCACAGCAGGAGTTGGAGGTGGGCGCCCAGCGCTGAGCGGCCGGCAGACCAATGGTGAGAGAAGCCTCCTGGGCCCTTGGGGTGGGGGCGACAGCTCAGGGCTGGAAGGCTGGGGCCTGGGCACTAAGGAGGAACCCCTTCCCCCAGGGCCGGGGCAGAGGGGGCAGAGGGGAGGCCGACAAGCGGAGGCGGAGAGGCCTTTTTCTCAGCCTCCTGGAACTCAGGTGTGACCCCAGGACCCTGCTGTGGGCAGGGACCCCAGGAGAAACCCTGCAGGCCCTTCCCACCTGCTCCTTTGAGCTGGGCCTGAGGCTCGAGCCAGAGGACCCGAGCAGACAGGCTGGGGGGAGGGGGGCCCTCGCAAACCTCAGCGCTCCTCCCCTCACACCTGCCGTTCCAACCGCAGGCTTCCTCTGGCTGCTGCACTCTGCCCCTAGCCTGCCCCTACCCAGACCCGCCTGAGGGCCCCCAGGGCAGGAGCTGAACGGAAACACTGCAGCTGGGGCTGTCCCAGGGCTGGGAGGAAGAGAGGTCACCAGGACCTCCGCGGGCCGAGCCCCAGGCCCACCTTGCAGGCAGGCTCCCCCACACCCGCGGGGGCAGCATGGCGGTCACCGCTTTAGAGTGCCCACTGCTGCCAGGGATGGCTCAGGTGTCTGAGCCAGAGCCCCGTGTCGGCACAGCATACCCACAGTCGAGCCCCACTCCCGGGGAGCAGGGAAGGAGGGAAGCAGGCCTGGCACTGAGGGCCGGGCGGCGTGCAGGTCGGGGTGCCTCGAAGCCTTGTGGGGCGCGGAGGGGAGGCCCCCAGAGACGAAGCCGCTGCACGGGGCCTGCAGGGGCCCCGTCCAGTGTCTCGGGGCCACGTGGCTTTCGGGTCTCGCGGTCCCCACGGGCCCAGAGGCACCGGGTGACATCCCGCCGTCTCCCCACAGGACCTGCCCTGTGCGCGGGGGCTCGGGCCTCTGCTGCTCCTGCCGGGGGTCCTGGGCTCTGGCGGCCGCGCCAAGGGCAGCGCAGGCTCCAGCTTGCTCACGGTCGTGCTGCTGCTGCTGCTGCTCCTGCTGCTGGTCGCTGGCCTGGTGCTGGCCTGGCGCCGCCTAAGCCGAGACTCGGGGGGCTACTACCACCCGGCCCGCCTGGGCGCCGCGCTGTGGGGCCGCACCTGCCGCCTGTTCTGGGCCAGCCCGCCAGGCCAGTGGCTGCAGGCTCAGGTCGGGCTGGAGTCCCCAGACCAGGACCGCGAGAGTCAGGACGAGCAGGACCTGGAAGAGGACTACGACCTGGACGGTGGCCAGGAGGAGGCCGACGGCGGGAAAGAGGAGCTGCCGGGCGCAGAGAGGCCCGGGCCGCCCGTGGAGGTGGCACAGCCGGCTGAGGAAGAGCCCGAGGCGGCGGCTGAAGAGCGCCTGACCCTGGTCGCTCAGGGGCCAGTGAGCTCGGGGGGCAGCGCCGAGGCCCTGCTGAGCGACCTGCACGCCTTTGCGGGCAGCGCCGCCTGGGACGACAGTGCGGGGGCCGCGGGGGGCCCAGGCCTCCACGTCACAGCGCTCTAGGCCCGCCCGGCGCGGCGAGACCAGCCCGGACCCGAGGCCCCACCGGTGTGCTCAGACCGTCAGTTTCACTAGACCCGCTCCCTCGGCTGGGGAGCCCCACCCCCTGTACCCGGAGCCGTCGGAAATAAAATCGTCACCCAGCGAGCCCCACGCCTGCCTCAGGTCCACAGGAAGAGCCAGGCCAGCACCGTGCTTCAATGCTTTAATTCTGCAAGGGCAGGCCTGAGCGGGGGGCAGTGGGCCGTGGGGCGCCCCGGGCAGCCGTAGCCTGCAGAGCCTGCAGCCCTCCGAGCCGTGGTCTGGGGACCGCCCACCCCATGGGAAAACACTCCTTCCTGCCCCCGGACACGCCAGGGACACTGCCCTCGCGGCTCACAGGCGGAGTCCGTCACCTCACACTCCCCTGTCCTAGTGCCCGGGGCGCCCCCGGCCCCTCTTGGACTTCTTGGTTCCCGAGGGGGGGCGGATGGGGAGGGGCGCAGTGCTCGAGGGGGGCAGTGGTGGCGGCAGCGGTGGCAAAGGTAGAGTGGGCTCCATGGGCTCTGGCGGGCCGGGGCTGGGCCGGAACCCCTCGAAGGGCGAGAACTTCAGGGGACTGCAGGGGAAACCGAGGCGGAGTCGGCTGCTGCCCCGCGGGGGGGCCCAGCGCCCTTCCAGGAAGCTCCGCAAAGGCCCCGCGGAAGAGAAGTGGGGCCAAAAGGAGAGAAGTCACCCCGCCGAGCAGCCCCTGAATACCTGATGGGGGTCCGCGGGCTGCTGTTGCGGCGCCTGGGGGAGCGCAGCTTGGGCTGGAAGGAGAAGCCCTCCTTGATGCTGTCCAGCACGGAGGGCGCCACGTACGTGAAGCCCTGGGGGCGGAGGCGGCCAAGGGCACTCAGTGTCCCCCCGTCGCCAGCCCACCGGTCCCCCTCAGGCTTCGGGGCCTCACCAGGAAGGCCTGGTTGGCGCTCTCACTCAGGGCCGTGTCGTCCGGACTGTCCACCGGCGTCTGCCGGGTGAAGCGGGCGTCAAACTGGCTCACGTCCTCCTCTGACTGCTGTGGGTGGATGCAGGTGGGTGGGGCGTGTCAGGGGTGCCCAGGAAGGGGGTGGCCCCACTGCTGCCATGCCCACGAGACGGCCACTCACCAGAGAGGGCTTGAACGGGGGGTCCACTTGACGGGCCAGGAGGTCCTCCCAATTAACATGTCGAAAGAAGGGGTGTCTCTGCAGGTGACATAAGCCAAGAGGTTCACAGTGCACTCTCCAGGAGGCGCACTGCCCTCAGGCCGGCTCCCTGCACCCCAGGGGCTCACCCTGACCCTCAAGGTGGCCCCAGACGCACCTGCACATCAGCGGCATCCCCTGGGCCACCCCCCATCCGTTGGCTGGGGTTCCGCTTCAGAAACTGTAGGATGAAGGTGGGGGGTGAGGACTGTGCCCGCACCCCAGGGGCCGGCTGGGCTGCCTCTGGGGTGCCACCGCCACCTACCAGCTCAGACTTTCCAGGTTTGGTTCCCCCACGGAGCTTCACCGAGGAGCCTGGGCACTGCCACGAGGCTCTAACCCCATGCTGGAAGGGGCACACCCCCGCTCCATTTTGATGGGAAAGCAACGAGCTCGTCATGGGGGTGAGCTGTTCTGGGGCTCACGCTGGGGCTGTGCCCAGGTGGGCAGTGGGTCTGCCTGAGAATGGGCCTCAGCTCTGCAGGCCCCAGGCGAGTGCTCCTCCACCCACAGGCACGCTGCCCAGGAGGGCTGGCTTGGGATCCCCACAGCCCCCGAGAGCTCCAGCCCCACCTTTTTTTTTTATATATAATAGTTTTACATCATTTTGTACTTTTTTTCATCTCAATTGTAATCCCCGCGGGTTTCCCATCACCGAGTCACCCGTGTGCCATCACCATAATCCCATGCACTTCCCTCCCCCCCCACCCCGTTTTTGATCCCATTCCCCACTCCACCCCCGCAAAATGTCTCTGGTATATGGCTGTTCATTATTCTTGTTATTTTCTCGCCTGGTCCATTACTCCTGCTATGAGCGAACCATCCGGTATTTTTCTTTCTCTCTCTGGCTTATCTCACTAAGCATGATCTTTTCCAGCTCCATCCAAGTTGCTGCAAAAGACATGTGTTTCTCTTTTTGGTTGCTGAGTAATATTCCATCATGTCTATGTACCACATCTTTTTAATCCAGTCATTTACTTTTGGGCATCTGGGCTGCTTCCATGTCTTTCCAATTGTAAATAAAGCAGCAATAAACATGGGCAGCTCTCACCTTTTTGATGAGGTCACGGGCATCTGGGGTGAGGTAGGGGGGCAGCGCCAGCTTCCCTTTGATGATCTTGTCCATGGTTTTCTTCCGGTTCTCTGCAGTGAAGGGAGGCTGGAGAAGGCCGAGGGTGAGGGGGGCTGTGTGGGCTTCCCACCAGCCCTCACCTGCCCGAGGGTCCTCCCAGCCCGGCCGCAGCACCCCGAGACGTGGGACTTGCCGATCCAGTGAGCATGTCATACATCAGGGCTCCCAGGCTCCACCAGTCCACTGCCCTGTTGTGGCCACTGCGCACCAGAATCTCAGGGGCCCTGGGGGCCAGGGACCGGCAGTCAGGCTGGGCGCCCCCCGCCTGTCCTTCCGAACCCCGGGCCAGCGGCCGCCCCTTACATGTACTCGATGGTGCCGCAGAAGGTGTGAGTGACGGCGCCCTCGTGAATGGACTCCTTGCAGAGTCCGAAATCGGTCAGTTTGATGTGACCTGAAGAGGGAGGGGCGGTCAGGGACCCGCGGCCGTGGGCTCCCCGCCCGGCCCCCGCCCCGCCCCCGACGCACCCTGGCTACTGAGCATGATGTTCTCGGGCTTGAGGTCGCGATAGATGATGCCCTGCGAGTGCAGGTGGCCCAGGGCCAGTGTGATCTCTGCCAGGTAGAAGCTGCAGAGACAGGACAGGATGAAGGCCAGTGGAGCCAGGCAGGGCGAGTGCCCAGAGGCTCGGGGGCAGAGGCCACAGTGGCACCCACCAGGCAGTGTCTTCCAGGAAGATGCCCTCTCGCTCCAGGTGCGTGAAGAGCTCACCGCCTGCGACACAAACACGTCAGCAGTGGGCGCGGCCTGGCTCCTCTGCTCTGAGTCTTGGCTTCTCCTCGGGGAGAGTGGGGCCGGCAATTCCCGCCCTACCTGCCTCACAGAGCTGCCGAGGGGTTCAATTCAATTCAGCAAACATCTACCGACGCCCACTCGGTGCCTGGCCCTGTGCTGGGCGAAGCTGGGGACAGAGATGAAGAGACCCAGCCATTGCCCTCAGGTGCTCAGTCTGAGGCGGACACAGACATGCACACCGCGGCGCTGACAGGCCAGACTCAGGCAACAGCGCCAAGACCTGGACCCGAAAAGTCTCACAGAGAACGAGGAGGGCAAATGTGGGGGAGACAGAAAGTCAGAGCAGTGACGCTCGGCGGGGTGGCGGAGATGGAGCACAGCATGTAGCTCACAGGCCCGTGGCCGGGGGACAGGAAGGAGCCAGGCACTGGGCAGCCCGAGGTCAGGGGCTCTGAGCAGGGGAGGGGCCACCCAGCCCGAGAGGCAGTGGAAGAGGCCAGCAAGAGGGTGACGCGGCCTCGTCATGAAGGGACATGCGCCTCCCTCTCGGGGGACAGGCGGGAGGGTGGAGGCCCTCAGAGAACACCCAAGCGGCCCCGGGCCTGACTGCATGCAGGGTGCGAGCATAGGCAGGGACGCGAGGGCAGCGGAGTGGGCCCATGGCATAGGGCCCCCGGCAACGCCCACCGCGCCCATGTACCCCAACACAGGTGCGGGACCGACAGGCACTAGAAAGACGTTTGCTGAATGAAGGGATGAGGGAGTGAGCGAGTGACTGCAGGGATGGACAGGTGCATGTGGGCCCCTTGCCGTTCTCCTTCGCTTCCCCAAGAACCCTCACTGTTTCCTGCGCTAGTCCCGGCCCTGCCCCCCGCCCAGCCTGGGCCCCCACTCCTACCACTGAGGCACTCAAGGATGAGGTAGAGTTTGCCACCAGTCTGAAAGGCATAGGCCAGTTCCACAATGAAGGGGTGCTTCACTGACTCCAGAATGTTCCGCTCAGCCCGAGTGTGTGCTGTGTCCTTGGCGTTGCGCACAATTTTGGCCTGGAAAAGGAGGGCAGCTGGAAGGTGAGCACCAGGGCTCCACCAGTCCTACTGCCACCTCCTGCCACCCGCCTCCCTCCACGAACTCCGGAACTCCGCAGCTGTGTGCACAGTTCCTTCCCAGGGCGCCGCCGGTGACATCTGGAGCCAGACAGTTCTCTGTGGGGGGCGGGGCCGATCCTGTGCCCCAAGGTAGTGAGCAGCATCTGAGTGGCACTGGATGGCAGCAGCACCCCCCTAGCCCGGGCTGGCCACCGTCCGCACACATAGCTAACTGTCCCCGCGAGGCAACACTTCCCCTGACTGAGAACTAGTGCGAAATTATACCCGTCGCCATCAACAACTCAGCAAGCCCCAAACCGGACGTTTCCTTGCCCAAAGCCCAGCCCAAGGGCGGAGAAGGGCAGCTGGGGGGAGGGTGTGCTGACTGACTGCCTGACTCACCTTCCTCAGCACTTTCATGGCATATATCTTGCCCAAGTTGGTGCCCTGCACCTTCCGAACCTGGAACACCTGTAGGGCAGGGGAGACAGGCTCAACTTCCCTCCCCACCTCCCATCTTCAAAAAGCCCCGCCCTGCAGCTGTCATGGGGCCCAAGAGGCTGAGGCCCACCCAAGGGTGAGGCTGTAAGGATCTCAAGTCCCACCCTGAGAGGACTGCCCTGCCTCCTAGAGGCTACGGGAGTCCTGCTGCTTCCCCAGTCTGATCGGTCCCAAGAACCTGCCGGGGCAGAGGCCGGAGGGCTGGTACCTTGCCATAGCCCCCTTTGCCCAGCACACGCAGCAGCTCAAAGCAGTGGGGCCCGATGCGCTCGGGGCCGAGGTTCACACTGTCTTCTGTCAGCTCCACCTCCTCGTAGTGTCCCCCAGCCCTACGGACACCGACCCGGTCACGGACGTGAAGGGAACAGGGCAGAGACGCGCAGCCCTCCCCAGCCCTCTCCCCTCCCCCGGCGCGCCCTCACTCACTCCATGCCAGCCGCCCTCAACTCGGCCAGGGGACACACGTCCTGCGGGAAACCGGGGGGTCAGAGCCAAGGGAGGGGCCCTCGTCCCTCAGCTGGACTCTCGCCCAGAGGAGGGGGTCAGGCCGGGGAGGTGACGGGCGGCGGGGCGGGGACCGAGGACCGCTGGGCGAGAAGCAGCGAAGAGCTGGGGGTCGGGGCGGGGGCGCGGTCAGGACAGGGCAGAGCCCGGGTCTAAGAACGCCCCGGCGGCCGGGGGTGGGAGCACTCACCGCGGGGCTGAAGTCCGGCTCGCCCTCTCCCTCACTGCCTTCCTCCGTCTCCAGGTCCAGGTCAAACACCGCCGCCATAGCGGCGCCGGCCGGCGGGCCCCTTGGCCCGTACCCGGCTCTCCGACTGGCAGCCCCAGATAGGGCTCGAACGCTATCATCCCGGGACCGCCGCGCGCCGATGACGCAAGAGGCTGCGCGCGCCCATCCGCACGCCCATTTGTCCGGAATTGAGAAAAGATGGCGTCCACCGCTACGCCTCCTGGGAGTTGTAGTTCCACAGTGCCGGTCCGGAATTGAGAAAAGATGGCGTCCGCCGCAAGGCCTCCTGGGAGTTGTAGTTCCACAGTGCCGGCAGCCAAACTTAAATCCTCGCGGCGGGACCCTTAGACTTCCCAACACAGCTACCTCCGGACGTCGCAAACGAGGACGGCCTGGAATATGCCATCTTGGCTCTGGGGAGAGTTTGAGTTTGGATGGGGCAGAATCCGCAGTGCAAGGTGTATGCGTGCTAATTCAGTTCCTCCCTTGGAGCCGGGTGCTGGCAGGCTGGCTGAGTGGCAGGAGGAAGGTCGTATCCCTCTATTCTATGAAAGGAAAGTAGCTGCATCAGGGTTTCTCTCCAAGGCACTTCACTCCAGGACCCTGCAAGTCAAAGCACTTCCTGTTGACTATCCCAAGCCCAGCTCACTCCTGTGTTTTGCTGCCACATTCCCTTCCAGAGTGTCTTATGGATGCCTCGATAGACTGGTGCTGGCATTGGCGCCGTCGTCCATCTGGCTAGCTGATACAAGAGTTGTGCAGTGGGCAAGCAGGCCAGCAGGGAAGGTCACTGTGGCTTCGAGCATATGGATAGAGTTTGGAGCCCTCCAGTTATTAAAGGCCACTAATGTTGAAGCGGAGAGCCAGACACACAGGTACACAGACAGGAGGCCCGGCAGACAGCAGCCATGCTCACTCCCTCCCTCCCTCACCTCTCTCTGGCTTGCTCCCTCAGTCTCCCAGACTCAGCCCTTTCACCCCGCCCCTCTAGGCACAGGTGTCCATGTTTACATATGCGCAGGCCTTGCTCTCTGTGCCCAGGTGTCCAGATCATCCACCTTTGAGCCCCAGGCGTCCACAGAACTTAAGAAGAGGACAAGGCCCAGGCGGTAGCTATCAAGGCTAGCGGCCGGAGTCCGTGAAAAAGCCTGATTCACTTCGCTGGTCCTATAACATGCTTAATAAAGCAGCCCGAAAAGAATTAATGAACACACTTCTGCTTTGTGACTTTAGATGTGGACATGAGTCCTGTTGAATGGGGCCCAGAGCTGGGAGCAGGGGGTGAACTTGGGCCGGATCAAGCCTTGGTCGTGAGTTCTGTTTGCTGTCAGCTGTGGGGATGTGCGTTGCAGTTGGAGGGAGGAGGCCTGCTACAAACTTGCACGGGCAGAACTGCCGGAGGCTTATCTAGTTGCATGTGGCCCTCCAGCAGGAGTTTCACCAGAGACCCATAGGTTTGGTCCTGGTGTGACAGCCCCTGGCAGATGATGCTGGAGGTGAACCCAGTGTTCTGAGCAGTGTAGCTGTTTATCCTCAGCTCCAGCCGCTGCAGGTACACTTTGGCCACTCCCCCCTCTCCCCCCATTCATGTGAGCCCTAGGGGCTCACATTCTTGTCCAAGTCACAAGAATCTATTCAGACTAGTCCATAAGCTTTATTTAGAGTGGGGTGCTCCTGGAGCTGGCCGCAGCTCCTGAAAGCACCCGCTCCTGAACCCCGGATATAGACTCTCGCTGCCAATGCTAGTTAGGTGGGCGGGAGGCCGCAGCTCCGAGGCTTGGCGGTGCATGGGAGGAAGGTTACAATGCTCAGAACCATGTGAGTGAGGGCAGGAGGTGCGAGGGCCCACAAGCTGAGCAGGCATGTGAGAGTGGGCGAGGAGACACCTGGGCCTCGCCTCTCACCTCTGCGCCCCAACCCCTGGCCACTGGGGTGACCGCACGGTGGTGGTTCTCCCGGTCGGAGCCAGTTTCCTCATCTGTGGATCAGGACCCCAGGGCCCCTGCTTCTGCTGCCCAGGTCAAATGAGGCAGGTGGGGCACTGCCAGAGGTCATCAGCCGGCTCTTGGGAGAGAGTACAAGGGTTATTCAGGTTCTACGGGGATTTGTTCAAGGCGAAGGATCTGCCATGTTCTCGCCTCCTGTAGACGGCAGGAAGAGACAGGCCCGGGGGCAGGGGTGCACGTGGGCTGGGGCCCTCGCCCGCCTCCACGGTGATTCAGGGGATGAGTGTGTGTGAGTGTATGCACCGGAGTCCTGGGGCAGCCCTGGGGTGGGTGGGGTGTCTGGAAGGGCAAGTGTGCCCAGCAACCCCCGATGCTTTCTTCTGTGGCCCGCAAGTCCAGGAGGCTCTGGGGTCAAAATGGCCCTGCTGCGCTGGATCAGTCATGAGGCCTTGAAGCAGGCTGGGAGGGCTGGGCAGGGGCGAGGGGAGAGAGGCAGGGAGAGCACCAGGGAGCAAGAGGCACTAGGTGCCCACTCCAGCCCTTTACCCTGCCCCCTGGCCCCAGTGCTATTTAAAGTGGGACAGGAAGTGGGCCACAGGGTAGTGGGGCCCGTCGATGCCCAGGCCCTGGCAGAGGCCCAGCAAGCGGAGGCGGGCCTCGGCTGGGCTGGGCCCGGCGCAGGCCACACTGCAATAGGGCTCCTCATACTCGCCCGGCACCAGCGCCTCCTCCAGCAAGGTGAGGCGCAGCAGGCCCCGGTCGTGAAGCGCTTGCAGGGTCTCACGGCTGGCCGTGGAACTCAGTGCCTGCAGGTGCTGGGACACCAGGCACATGACGCCCACCAGGTGGCCCCGGGCTCGTGGGTGGGCAGGCAGGGCCGGCCGCAGGCCGCAGGCCACCATAGCAGCAGCCAGCAGCAGGTCCACCCCATAGAGCTCCAGGATCCAGTCGCGCAGGTAGAAGCCACCCATGCGGGGGTTGATCTCGATGAGCCTCGGCCCAGCCCCGGTCAGCTTGAGCTCCACGTTAAAGACCCCGTCTAGCAGCCCACAGCCCAGGCAGCAGCGGAAGGCTGCCTGCACCAGCTGTGCCTCCTGCTCCGGTGCCAGCCCAGTGGGCATGCAGGCTGCTGTCTCCGTGAAGCCAGGCAGCCGGGTGGGGCCGTTGTCCGAGACGAAGGCTGCCAGCAGCCGCCCGCCAAACACCACCAGGTCCACATCGTGCTCAGTGCCCTCCACGAACTCCATCAGCAGCATGGCATTGCCCCAGCCCAGCCCGATGCCCGGGTGGTCAGCCTCACCCTGCAGGTCCCGGGCAATCCGGGAAAAGTGCTCAAGGCACTGCGGCGCATCCTCCACCAGCCGCACGCCCACCGCGCCCGCCCCGAACTCCAGCTTCATGACGCCCGGCAGGGGCACCTGGCGGACAGCCCTTTCCACATCAGCCTCACTCTCCAGTGGGCAGCAGGGCACGGCGTAGAGGGAGGCCGCGGGCCAGGGCGGACCGTGGTGGTGGAGCAGGTGCAGCTGGGTGCGGCTCTTCTGCTTGGCCAGGCGCATGGCGGCCGGCGGGCTGCACGGCAGCCCCAGCTCCTGGCACAGCAAGGCGGTGAGCACCAGGCAGTCGTCCCAGTAGGAAAAGCAGCCATCTAGCTGCAGGCCACGGGCCCGCACCAGCTCCGCCAGCAGCCGAGCATTCTCCTCGTCCTTCCGGTGCTCTGTCACGTCAAAGTGGATGAAGCTTTGCACCACTTGGGATGCAAAGTGGTTAGGGTTCGACTCTACCAAGTGCAGCTGCAAAAATCACAGAGGGCAACACGCCTGGGTCAGCCCAGGGGTGCTGGGGAGAGAGGGACGTGGCCCTGGCCCTTGGAAGAGCTGAGGTAACCACTGGGTGCTGGAATGACATTTGTTGGTTACTAACTGGAAGACGCAGAAGGGGGACCATGTCACCCAGCCCAAAGGGGCGGGCTCAGTGCTTGAGCTGAGGGCGGAATAAGGACCAGTCAGATAAGAGATGGCTGCAGGAGGGAAGAGTGTGAACACGGGGCAGGGAGGGCCTGGAGCGTGGAGTTGGGGCGGGGAGCAGGAGAGGCCCATGGGCAGCTTCACTCTGACGTGGAAACCATCAGGGCTGGGGCTGCTGACAGGTGGGCCGGGGTCCTGGGGCTGAGGCACGTTTGTCACGCCCCTGACTTGTTCTGACACGAGGGTGTCACAGAGGAGACCAGTGATATCCTGTGTTCCCTGCCCACGGGGGGCGCACAGACACAGCTGAAACCAGTACAGGGACAGCCCCGAAAGAGGGGGTGCACTGAACACCCAGCAGGTGTGGAGACCTCCCGGTGGAGGGTCCAACGGGGAACACGATGTGGACAGGAGACGGGGCATGCACTGAGGGTGGTGAGGAGGACCGGTGGTAGGAAGCACCTAGACATCCCGCCCCCATTTCCAGAGCTGAGCAGTACAGGCTGCTCCAGGACTGCAGACTCTGAACCCTGAGGCCGCTGTTGTGAACGAGCCTCGGGGTCTGTAGCTGCTCCCTGGCACCCTCCAGGCCTCAGGAATTCAACTATGGGCACCTGCCCTCTCGGGGAGTCCCAGGTCCCGGCCTACCTGGTCCCACCAGTCCCTCCACCCAGGCTTCCTCCTTCCCGGTAGGGCTCGGTGCTCACGCGGTTTGGGGGCAAAAAGTTCACCCCTCTAATCTGGGCCTAGGGCAGACACTCTTCCCAGTCGGGGCACCACTCGCCTACCAAACCGCCCCTCGCCGGGACCGCGCCCCGGATCGCCCCGCCCCACCGCCGGACCCCGCCCG